GTCCTTCTCTTTAGACATCAACTCAATGCCCTTCGCTGACGGGATCGGCGTATCAACATGTTGTTTATGACGTATTCAAGCGAGTTCGACACTACCGTCCAGCCGGGCAGCATCTTCTCGAAGTACACGAGCGCGGTGCCATCCAGTTTACCGTTAAGCGTGAGTATCTTGAACTCCGCAGGCCAGTCCCCGCCGCTCATCTGCTGTGCAGCACCGAGTCGCTGAAGGAACCGCAGTCCCCACGACTTGAAGTCGGCTCCAATAGCCGCGTACGTCTCCTTCCCGGAGAACTTCGGCCAATCCAGGTTCCTCGGTTTTTGGATCTTGACACCGAAGTTAACCGGTAGCAAGACCGGTTGCTCCACGTGCGGTGGCGGCACCTGTTGTTGTTGTTGCGGCGGCTGGTACTGCAGAGGTGTGCGCATAGGTGCAGTCGGAGCAGCAGTGGGTCTCGGTGCGTCTAATGACCCCATTCTCATCCTACGGTCGCGCGCTCTGATGAAGCCAGTGGACGCGTTGGACCCGTCGTACGAATTCTCGGAGGGTGGCGTGCGCGACTCTTCGGCGTGACTCTTCAGCTGACCTTCAAGTCGCCTCTGATTGACCAAAAACTCGGTTTGTTGCTGTACCAGCCCTTCAAGGAGTCCTTCGAGCCGATCCAGTCGCTCGAAGCTCGCATCGGAGTTCCGACTGCCCCTTGCGTGAGCGGACGCACTCGAGACTATTTGCGTCCCCTCGAACAGTTCAAACGGGTCCGAGAGCACGATCAGCCCGTGCACGTCGGGATCTTGGACCGTACGGACCGGACTCTGCTGCTTCGAGGTGTTGTTGGGTACGCTTGAGCGTGGTTCCATTGTTGGATTGTTAGCTTGCTCTCGAGGATGAAAATTAAGGACTGATGTATTTTATGCAATGTGCAGCGCCACTTGGCTGCTCCTGGATATGCAATGTCAGTGTTCTAACTGCTCTTGAGTGTGTGCAGTGGTTTCCTAACCGACGTCTCTTACTGTTGCTGCACGTTCTCCACACCTGCCGTCACATTCAGCTCTGCGAGTTTCAACATCCATATAAACCACCGCGATGGGCTCTGGTGAAACCTGGTGGTCTGGATCGAGTTCAATACGACAGACGTCGGAGTTTCTCGCCAGGCAGTTCGCTCCCAGTTGCACACTGTTTCAACTGACGGTGGGCGCAGATTACCACGTGCGATGTACTCCACGTTATCAGAGCGCTTCCATTCGTTAATCAGGCTTGATAATTTGTCTTTAAAGACCTTGTAGATACCAATGTCACCAGCTTGGAGGTATGGCGTTAAGCCTCCAGGAACGACACACATGGCGATATCTCGCTGGCTGAATTTGGCTTTGATCTTTTTCGATACATGTGCTCGCATAGAATCCCAAACGAGCGCTTTGTCACGGACACTGACCACAACAGGAAACGCTCGATCAATCCACCCCATGAGTAGCTCGCTATCCACCCACGCTTTTGGTTGATTTGCGACCCAAACCGAGTTGACAGTTGAAATAGCGCGATTGCCGTTCTTTTGTTTACAAATGACAAGTGGAGGCAGCTTTCGGCCGGGTGCCGCCACAGCTAGCACCGCGGTGACACGCATCGATGCGAAGCCTGTAGAGCACAGCACAACATGACGCGAGCCAGTCACATCGACGGTTGTATCCCTCGGGTCTTCAAAATACACGGCAGTTTCGTCCATCAAGACGGTGTGCTCCAGGTCAAATTTTGGAAGGTTACTGGTGAGGTACTTCATTTAGCAGATCGCACGACCAACCAAGGCTTCGTCGGAGAGAACGGTAAGGTTTGTTCGCTTTCGGAGCGAGAGATCATTGCGCTTCATGAACTTGGAAATCCATGCGTCCAACGCTACAAACGACTCCTATTCTCGTCCAGGGAGGCGTACAGCTCTTTTGCAGCCAACCCGATCCATTCTCTTGTCACTTTTTTCTTGCAAAGGCGACGGTCGATTATAGCGTCTAGAAAAAGATCTTCCAGTGCACCAAGAAGCAGCTTCCTGCCGCCGCCATGCAG